GTGTGTTAAGGGAAGGCATCGATGATGGGTGTAGTCAGTTTGCTGCCTTCTGCAGCACAGTTTGTGCTCATCTAGGATATGGGTGTGCGCTGCTGGCTTCCTGCAAGGCCTAGATCCAAAATCTCCCTATGGCTGGGCTGGGTCTAAGGGATGGAAAGGTTAAATTCCTCATGTCACAGAGCTGCTGTCCAAACACCCTGCTACTCTTTTTTACAGGAAACACATTAGAGCAGTCATCAATTTGCACATGAGGTTGTATGTATAAGGCATGGGAATGGAGAGTGCCTGGGTTTGATTACAAATGGAAGAAGCTAGAAATACTAGAAGAAGAAGCTAGAAGCGGGGGACAACAAATGTAATGAAGATATTTACCTCTAGTCTCCTTGTAGGGTAAGCTTAGGCCATGATGTCATTTTTGTTTTGTTTGTTCAAGTAAAATGAAGGTTTGTCACACTTGAATTTATCAGCCCTTCAGCAACTGACTTATGTGCATCTGGAAGGACTGGACTGGCTTTGCATCAGCCATGGGGATGGGAGGAAAAGAAGTGCCTTATCCCTTTGCATTACTTGCTGTGCCGCTCATTAGGTTCTAACTTTACTCTGCAGAACAAGAGCTCTTGAGTACTGACCTGTTCAAAAAGGCATTGCCAAAGGCGTTGAGTTTCCTGAACGGTTTTTTGGGATCCACCACTAACGCATTTCCAGGAACGATTCCTTCCACATCTCCTTGCATAACAGCTATAAAGGAGTCAGTTGTAGGCTCTGGTCCAATCCTCATCCCTGGGAAATCCTGCTCCAGCAGGTACCTGTAAGTGAAAAAAACAGGGTGTGGGCATGAGACTTGAACTGCTAAGTCCTAAATGAGTTGTACTGCAGATTGCAGTGCAATTATGAAGCTCAAGAGCATGGATCCTTCGGAGACTATTTTTAGCACTGTCACTCAATTGTTTGATAAATGTCTTGGTAGCTTTTCCACTTAGGATCTCAACATTGAAAGCTCATTTAAGGTGGATTAAGAAATTAAGATGATTATAGCTGCTGGGAAGATATTCTCATTGTGTTGCATCATTTTGTGTACTTCAATCCTCAAGACACTTGGAGCAGACTTAGCACAGTAAAAAACAGAAGTTCACTGCAATCACAGAGTTAATCCTACTACACACTACTGTTAAACCACTACAAGATCCCGAAACCCTACTGGCTCTTGGTGCCAATATCAATTACTTTGCTGCTGCTCGTTTCAACAGACTCAAACAACTAATGTGCTTAGCCATTAGTCCAAATCAGTTGCTTAAATGCTAACTTCCCTTGCACTTGACTGAAGTCTGAATCTCTGTCCTTGTGTGGTTCTGAATGCAGCCACAGGCCTGCATTACAAACTGCTCAAGCATATTGAGCACTACACACGTGGGTGGGGGAGTGTATTTCAAGCTATATATCAAGCTAGATACCACACTAAATACAGCATCCCTTATTATTTCCTGAATGTAGTTTGGCAAATTTCAGGGAAAGACAGTCACCCGTGGGGTTGTAGGGCTTTGAACAGGACCGTGGCAGCATATCCCAACTGACCCTGCCAAATTCAGGGTGAGTCAATGGTGTGTGCATGGGACAGTTCCCTTTGTCTCACAAAGGTGCCAGATGCCACCACTGAAGCCAGGCTTGTGAGTGTGGGTGCAGAAAACCACCTGCTGACGCTGCGCCGAAAACTAAGAACATTATGTCCATGTGGCTTGCAGAAAGAAGCTAGAACTGGTCTAGTCCTCAGTATGGGATGGTGTCAGAGGTGACAAGTAATAAGCTCTGGCTAGTTACAGGAATAAAAAGACTACCGGACTATGGAAGTTAGTATAATAATGTGTTGCTTGTTGCCAGAGGATAGTTGGCACTCCCTCTTCCATTGCTTTGACCTAATCCTCAGTAGGTAAAAAGATTATTTCAGCATTGCTGTCATGTTAAAACTAGATTATGGAGATGTGGAAAACGAAATAAGAGAAGGACTGGGGATTTTTTTCATGATTGAGACTGATAAGTCTAAGCACCAGAATTGGTTCACTCAGGTGAGTCTCAGTGAGAGAAGTCCCTGTTGTGAGAGACTATAGGACCACTGGCATGAAGTCTTGTGATAACTTTTTAGGGGTTCTTGCTTTCACTGTCATTTTAATATAGGTAATCACTATCTAGTGTTTAAGGAGCAACAAAAAAAAATTGTGCAGGCTATTTATTGATACCATGTCAGCAAATGAGTCTTCAGTTCCCAAAAAGCAAGGCCAAATCAACTGGATCGAGAGGTAAAACAGCCAAATGTATACCCAGGACGAACCACCAACACTTATCTGGCTTGGTACACACTCATACTGCAACAAGAATACCTCCACAAATGATATATCCATAACTCTCTTAGGAGATAACCATACCTCCTTTACTGGTATATTATCATGTATTTTCTTGTATCTTTTGTCCAAAGTGATTTCCAAGTCCCATGCTCTCCAGAAGGCCACCAGAAGTGACTCTCCTTAATTGCAGAACACTGAGATGTAACGGCAGCTGTTGAGCAGCTCCTAAAATACCTGAAATAATCCAGGAAGAGAGCAGCCCTCTGACCTCCTATACTAGGGTGGATAGATACTATTTAACGAAACCTTATGAAGGGTTTTCTCAAACTTTCCTATAGAAGTGGGTCACTGCTTGAGAAAAGCAGACTGCAGGTAGTGCTGGTGTGTGCCATCTCTCTGGCAGGTGATCACAACACCCCTTCCTGGCAGTCACAGCAACTCCTCTCTAGCTTGAAGCACCTTAGAACAAGGAGGGGTTACTTCTCTCCCACCAAGGGCTCTGTAAATTATCACCTGAATGTTCTTGGTTCAATTCTCTGGGAAGCTCTTTACACTGCTCAACTATTTGCTAGGTTAGAAGCCACTTGGTCAGACTTTGGAAACTAAGCTTGTGCCTCCTAGATGGCAATTCACTAGTCCTGATGGACATTGCTGTCAGGCCAGTGGCTTTATATAGATGAAAATTCACTGAATCCATAGAAATAAATCTTTGCATTCACCCCAAACAAATACTAGAGAGAAAAGAAATAGGTAGTGTTAACAACTGTCAAATGTAACAAGTGAAGGGCTTTTGAGAAAGGCACCCTACTCCTGATGTCAGGTTGCAGCCTTGCTGTAACAACCACCTTTTTTTCTTTTTTAGAGGCTTGAAATGCACGTAATATGACAATTTTTGAGCAGGAGTAAAAATTAGTTGAGGGGGGGAGTTGTTTGTTATTTATTGACAAAGCTTCCCAGAAAAACTAACCAAAAGTCCTGCATGGAATAGCAACTCCTCCAGACTGTTTCAAAAAATTTTATCACAGCTCCACTCAGCTAATGTCTCAAAGCATTTCTGTGTTTATTTCTTGTCTAAGACTTAAAAAACCACAAAACAAAAAAACCCAACAAAAGAACAAAAGCAGTAACTACACACCAATGTTACTGCCTTATGTGCAACAAGTGGTAGGAAACCAGAGAGATGAAGATTTGTACTGCCCACTATCACACCACCTATTTTAAGCCAGGCCTCTCTGGGAAATTCGGGTGCATTGTGCAGCAGGGTGTCAGCAGCATAAGAATCTCATTGTGCAAAAGAACAAATACAAGGGTTTTATTGACACTGCCTGATGGGGGGAAGGCACTTCTGCTCGGCAGTGGCACAGCCTGCCCTGGCTACCAAGAGGCAAGCTAGAGAACACATGCAGTTGTCACATTTGTGGGGATTTCTGGGAGAGAAAAGCAAACAGCTGTGGAAAACACCAACCACCAGCAAGCAATTTTCTCTGCCAGTGCTGCATGCCTTAAGCTGAGCTGCTGAACACCTTCAAAGGTCAGGGGGAGTGACTCCCAGCCAGGTAAGGAAAGTCTGCAGAGTACCCCAGGCAGGAGACAAATAGGTTTTAAATGACCAATCTGCTTTTTAGAGAAATGCCTGGAGTCGGTATGTGGCTGGAAGCATCATGCTGTTTGCCTATTTCAGGCCTGTCCTGGGAAGGGCCAGGGCAGGAAAGCTGTGCTAGTGCCCGCTCCGCTTGGGGGTCGCCTTTCCCAGGTGGATTTGGAGATGGGTAAGGAGAGGCCGGGCTCCCTGGGCAGGAGTGCCGCAGGATGTGGCGGAAGGGGCTGCCTGCCCGTGATGAGTCATGCAGGAGCCCTGCAGGATGCCGCTGAGCATGGCAGCAGAGGTGATGCTGAGCGGAACGGGAAGAAGGGCAGAGCAGGAGGAAATGGTGACAACTGCCTGATGCAGGCACAGATGAAAGGTTCAGGGCTACACAGGGAGGTCATACCAGAGCTCTGCGTGTAGCCTGTGATAAACAGTGTGGAGAGGCCAGGACGTGCAAATGATTAGCTATAGGAGGAAGGGGTGGCTACACCAGAAAAGCAAGCTATGTTGACAGTTAGTGGGGCTCTAGCAGGCTTGTTTATTTTATTAGCAGGATGGCTGGACTTGAGCCAGGATTATTTTTAGAAATGACCACGGAATCTAAGTTAATTAGGAGAGTAATGTTCTGTCCTATACTCCCACCCTCTTACAGGAAACATAAAAAGCAATAACATTATAAAGCCAGGCTCTAGTGAGATCCTGTAGTGGCTGTCACATATTCCGAGGTGGAGGTGTTGCCTTGCCCTAACCAGCACTGACTTTCAGCCCCTAAGTCTGTGGAAAAGCATCTGGCAAATGCATGCTGAGGAGAGAAATGGGAGTGAGCACAAAGAGATGATACAGCAGGAAGCAGGAATGGAAAAGCTGCATTAGCAATGCTACACCTTTCACATAGCACAGAAAGGCTCAGTTGTGTGTCCCTGCAAGGAGAACAGAGAACAGCCTGGTTCCGCTGCAAACAAGCTATGCTCTGGTCTCGCTTCACTGGCTTGGACCCACACAACTCACCTCCCTCTTCCCTGGCTCAACCTCTAGGAATGGTTCTCACTGCTGACCTTGACTTTTTTTTTTACCATCAGCTCCTGATGAGAGAGCAGCCTCACTGCAAGATGCTGCAGCTTAGGTGCTTCAGAGCCTTGCATTTCTTCCTTGTTTCACCTCAGATCCCCCAAAACAAGGAAAGCGGTTTGGAAGACAGACACTCCTTAGGTAGGTGACTATGGGTCATTTTTTTCTTTTTTTATTTTTTTCTCCCAGTAAGGTGTCCTGGGATCCAGGTAAACCAGGACTGAGTTCATTCCACATGACTGTTTAGTGGCATTAAGTCATCTCCCTAAATTGCATGGCAGTACAAGCAGGATGCAATTTAAGAGTGGAATTGATACATAAGGATAACCTTAATTATCCCCCATCCTGACAAGATTGTGGACAGAATGTCCAGAGGCTGTTTCTTGCTTCACTCTACTGCTAAGACATAATGGTTGTCAACCCTCCCACTTCTTCCCCCCAGCCCCCTCTAACTCCTCCCTGCTCTCTGCTTTAGCTCCCACTTGCCTTCCCACAATAACTAATGGATGCTAATCTGGTGCTTATCCCAGCTCTTTAATGAGCAGTGCCTGCAAGCTCACACTGGAAGCCTGTCACAAGCAACACAAGGTTTTCTGGCCTTTGTCTGGGAACACACTGGAGTAACAGACTCTCACACTTCTCCTACAGTTAGAGACCCTGGGGCTCTACAAAAGTTCTCAACTTTCACCATCTTAGGCACTATTTTAAACAGAAGACTCTGCCTTTCTGGAAGGCCCATTTGGTGCCTCATGAAGCAGAAGCTGCCAAAGCTCCTGGTCACTTTTGCTTGGCCATCATCCCTGTAGGCTCATCCCAGCCCTGTGCCTGGAGGAAACTAGGAGAAGAGGACACAAGGATGAGTGAATAGCAGTTGTCAGAGGCTCAGATCCACTTGCTGGCAGCAATAAGCATGTTGCTGCCATCCCACATGAGCAAAGACTCAATCTTCTTTTGCCTGTAACGTGCTCTAGGCACCCAAACTTCCTGCAAAAGGAGCTGTGGCTTACACAAGAAGGACTTCACTGAACAGAGAGGGGCAAAGGCAGGAAGTCTCTGCTAACAGCATGCAGGTGAGACTGCAGGGAAACATTGATGCTGACAATCCAGAGGAAAGAATTAAAAGGAGATGCTTTTATTAGACAGCCTTATCAGGAATTCAGCAATTCCTTGTGTTCAGGCTCTGAGTGCCTGTGACCCAGAGGACAGAAAAAGCTTTCCAAACAGGTTTGGTACTAAGTCACAGAACAAAGATCTGAGGTGGAACCAGCCCTTTCTGCTATGCTCTCTATTTTTCAGAAGAGTAACTCCCTTTGCAAATATGTGCAAAATGCTTTTTTGGGTCTTTTGCAACCCTTCACCATCCACCTGACCTGCCTTTTAACTCTTAAACTTTGTTTGCCAGGTACATGCCAAGGTAACAGAAATGCATTCTGCTCTTGGCTCCTGACCAGGAAATTTAGCAGCAGGAATATTACAGCACATAAAAAAAAAGAGCCCCTGTATTTCTCAAGGTCGTTCCTTTAGAGGCACAGTCAATTTGATTCACCTCTCTACTCTCTGCAGTTCCCTTCTTCACCAAGAAATACTGGTAGAACAAAGGGCTGACTGCCTGTGGCTCGCGTCCAGATTTACACTGGGGTAATTCCACAGATTTCAACACAGCTATACCAGAAAAAGGCTGGAATTTAACGCTTAGCTTATGAATCACATAGGAAACACGGACAGTGCAGCTTCAGCTATGATCCCAAGGGAAAGGCTGCTGCAAATTGAACTAGCAGCATGGCTGAACAGAGATCCCTGCAACGAAGTCCAGCGGAAAAGTTTAACCCTCTCTACGACAGTTTCACATCATCGAAATGAAAGAGCTGCTGGCAGCTGCTCTTTCTTTACAGTTCGAAAGGAACTCGCTGCTCCCTCCATCTCGGCCGAGCAGGACACAGTCAAAACAGGGCTCTCTTTCTGGAGTCCTGAAGAGGGGCAGGTCTCCCTGCACACAGGCTTCTCTAAGTGGGTTCTGAGTGCTGTCTCTGGGACAGCGCAGAAAAACACAGACACGCAAGCCTGTAACAAGGACGACTGCAAACCGAAGCACCCCCTTTAAAGCTGCCTCAGAAGCTACAGCAGCTTGAAAAGAATCGCTGTTACAAGGGTCAAGCCGGGCAGCGCAGGCACGGAATGCCCCGCGCGAGGCTTCCCAAAGCCTTTGCACTTTGAGCGGCCGGGAGGGCCCCAGTGACTCACACCTCCGCACTCCTGCCCTACTGCACTCCTCAGCCCTGCCCTGGGCTACTCTTTGCCACGTCGGTGTTCCATGGGACATCTTACACCACCCTGTGCTTGCGAAGGGATGCTCTGCGTTTGAGTGGAGGTGACTTTTCAATGAAAAGCCTTTGAGGGAACGCGAAGGGGGTAACAGAAGGGGGATCAAGCCATAGCACAGGCAGCAGAGACACGTTCTGCCCCACCCCAGTGCCCGGACGTCGAGGGTGCAGGCATGCCTGGGCGGGGGCAGCAGGCAGCGCGATTTTACCTGATGAAGGTGGTCTTCCCAGTGGAGTACTGCCCCACGAGGAGCACCATGGGCTTGTTGTCGAAGTCGGCATCCTCCAGGGCGGGCGAGTGGAACTCGTGGAACTTGTAGTGTTCTTCCAGCGGCAGCAGCTTGGTCTTGTAAAGCTTCTTCAGGCCGTCGCTGACCGTCTGGAACACCTCCGGGTCCTTCCGCCGACGGTCGTCGGTGCCCAGCCAGCTGAACATCTTGTGGCCTCCTGACGCCAGCTCCGCGACCACCACCGGGGCTGGGCTGGGCTGGGCTGGCTGCGAGCACGGGCTAGCCGCGCATCCCCCTCAGGCCGGGCGGGCCTCACTCCGCTCCGGCACTCACCCGCAAGGGCCGTCCGCCCTCACGCCACCTGCGCCGGCGATTTTAGCCTGAAAGCGGTCCCCGCGGGAGGCTAAAGGAGCAGCTCGTCCGCGCAGCCCCGGCCCAGCGGCACCGGCGGGCGCCGCCTCCCTTCACGCCGCCGGCTCCCGGCGTGGGCATGGCGCGGAGGCCCGGCCCTCAGGAAAGGGGCGGGCGCCGGAAGCTGGCCGTTCCTGGCAGGCGCCGCCCGTTCTCCCCGGCGGGTGAAGCCGCGCCGGGCGCCGCCATGTTGGACAGCGGGGAGGGGCCGGGTCCCGCCGCGCCCCCTGCGGGCCGTAGGAGGGAGTTTCAGCCCGGCCGCCATTTTATTTCCTTTCTCGATTCGAAATAGACTTTGAATAGACCTTATTTCCTTTCTCTTCGGAATAGACCTTAAAACAGCTACTGAAATGAACCGTGCGAATGCAAATCTGAGAGGGAGCCGGCTGCTTCTGAGCACTGCCAGCCTCATTTGGGTCTGCAGCCTGTCACAGAATGGGTCATGTTGGAAGAGACCAGCCTGTGGTGGTCCAACCTCCCTGCTCAAGCAGGGCCATCCCAGAGCGCATGGCGCAAGATTGCGATAAGATGGTTGTGGAATACTCCAGTGAGGGACACTCTGCAGCCCTTTTGGGTAGGATGTTTCATGTGTGGTCATCCACTCAATAAAGAAGTTCTTCCTCATACTCAGGTAGAATTTCTTGGCATCAGTTTCTGCCTGTTGCCTCTTGTCCTATTGCTTGGCACCGCTAAGAGCCTGGCTCCATCCCCTTGACAGCCCACTTTAGATATCTACACAGCTTGATGAGGTGTGCTCAGTTGTCTCTTGGACTATTCTTTCCCCAGCCTGGTGATTGGGCTGCACTGCTGCTCCTCACTTCATGGGGCTCACAGCTCTGGCTGTGCCTGGAGGAATTCTTCGTCTAAGCAGATGAGATAGGCAAATTATCTACTGTCCCAAATTATTTATTCCTCTAGTAATGAGGGATGGCAGGACAGCTGCATAGGTTTTCCAGGAGTAGCCTGAGGATTGGCATGTCCTTGGGGCTGGCCATCAGCTCGGCTGCCAGCCTCTCCTCATCTCCACTGCACAGCTGGGATAAAGCAGGAATTTTTCTCCTAAAATATCTCTTAAAGGCTTTTTCACTTCAGTCCATCCCACGGGTCCGAAAAATGTGGCAAGAGGCAGTTTTGGAATCAGTCCTGCTGTGTGGCAGTTCCTGCCCTTTCCCAGCCATTAACAGCCAGGAGGAGCCCAGACCTTGCATAAGCAGAGGCAACTCTACATTAAAACTTTTTTTTTTTTTTCCCCACAGGAGGGGGGACATATGGAGGCTGTGTGGTCCTGTGTGCCTGAACAATGATCCAGGTCCATTTCTATGCCTTCTACTGCAGGAGAAGACACTTTCCGTGTTCCCATTGTGTGATCCTAGGCACTCATATGCTCTCTGGCATGGCCTGACCCAGGAGGTGCAAGCAATGACTCCAGGGACCAGTTTTCTTTTTCTGGTAGAACATAGCAGGCTGACTGTATTTTCTGAAGATCAGACTTTTCTGCTTTCCTGCCAATGCCTAGAGCTGAAAGTGGAACTGATGTTTTGAAACCTCCTTAAGACCGATTCCCCTCATTTCTTTAGTTTTATAAATAGAGGCTTTTGGCTTTAAGAATTTGATGACTCCTTTCCAGAGAAAACTCCTGAAAATGAAAGGCCCCATAGAATCCAACATGTTTTTGGCAAGAATTACTCATTTTGTAGGGGAAAAAAATCACTTTCATCTTTTAGATAGTTCTGCCATTTAAGGGCTGTGCTCCTCTGATGGCGCTCTGGCATTTCTACAGCTATATATGGAGTCTCTTTGGTGCTTGCTTGTATTATCCTCAGAGCTGAGTAAAGGCCAGGCCAGGAAGCCTTTGATTGTAAATCTCCCCAGGCCACCTTGGTGCCCTTCCTGAATGTGGGGAAGAAAATGGGAAAAAAAAAAAAAGAAAATGGGGAGCAAAGCAAGTTTTCTGTTGTGCTGACTGCCACAGGTATGGCACAAGCCAAATTGTTCCCTGTTTACAAGGTGAGGATTTTAATCATTAAATTTCACAAGTCATAAATATGACTATCTGATGGCTAAATGACCAAAAAAAAGGAGAAAAATTCTTTGCCTTGGCTGAAGAGTCTCTTTCCTGTGGATTCATTATCTCCAGGGCAGATCACCACGAAACTTGACAGTCTTTATAGACTTTCTGTCTGTATCTCACAAACATTACACATTTTTGTTTATTTTTCAGTCTGTTTTCTTAGCCATTTGAGACTGACTTCCTCAACAGCTATCTTTACCTTGAGGTACAGAGCTTGCCAAAAACAAAGGGAAGTAAAATTAAGAAAGGAAATTTACAGTGTAATTAGGTTTTTCTTTCTGCCAGAATCAAACTGAAAGTTTTGATCTCTTTCTGTTCTTTATTCCTTTTAATTTCTTAAACAGAGGTGTTTTAATGGATGGTTTTCTATTGGATAGATTGGTCTTATGGTGCAATCTTTAGTAAGTGGATGGTTTTTTTTAGTAATTTACATTTTTAAACTGTAGAAACTCTCCCTTGAATGTGTTGCACAGAAGCCACTCTACTGCAGTGCTCTGAACATATCTCTGTTTGATATTGGTGGGGATCTGCTACAGTCTTCTACTATAGAATTAGTCTTTATCTTTAAGATATTATGGATTTAACTTTTAGTTCTGTAATCTCAGTTGTGTCCCTGCTTTCGGTAACGGGCTTGCAGTCACTTAACTGGATGCTTACCTTGACCAGGAGAGAGGGGCTTGCTGGAAAAGCTTCACTTCCACTTTGATGAAAGTCAGTGAGGCTGAACTAAGTCATGTAGTATTTGCATACAGAATGAAACCTGGGGTTTGGGGGGCAAAACATAATGTTGTAAAACTGAAACTTGTGAAATGGTGACAAATGTGTTTGCTTATCTGCAGCCTTAGGTTGGACAGGTTTACTTCCTACAAAAGATCATCTGAGGATGGGGATATTGAAGTCACAGAATCTGAAAAGATGTGGTGACTCAGTTTCAAGAAGCTTGTGGGAGCAGTGTAGTTCAGTAAAATTAACTTCCTGCCAGTGCAGTTACTGCCACTGTTTGTCTGTTACCAAGTGTGAAACCTGAGGAGACAGTGTCAAAAGTTCAGGTGCTGATGGGTTCAACAGGGAATAACCAGGATTGTGGGAAAGGAAAGAAGGGAGAGAAAAGAGCAGCAATCCCCCAGAATTAACCCAAATATACTAATTTGATAAGTAAGGGAGGGAGAGTTTCCTCTGGTTTAGCTGGATCAAAATTCTCAACTGCCTGCTGGTGCCATATGGCCTGTGTGGAGACAGAATTGTCTCCAGCATAGTTTGTTCCTTTCCTTGCTCATTGCTTTGCCTTTGCAACTCAGGATGCTCCTGCCCTCACTGCTCCTTCATATTCTTCTGAAATATTTTCCATTACCTTTCTCATACAATTTTTCGGGTGTCTTGCTACACCCACACATGCACATATACATAGTGGTTTTTTCCCACCCTCCCTTATACTGCTCTTAGCCCCTCATTGCCTGAGGTGGAACGAGGTGTTGGTACCCAGAAGTGCCCCCAAAAATGGGGAATTTGGGGCTGGATAATGGACTTCCAGTGAGTGGAAAGCATTCTTGCTTCCAGAGGACTCCCTCCTTAGATCTGTTTGGCAAAGAAAGCTGCTTGTATTGCACACAGGGGACCTCACTGATGGGATGTCTGTAATAGTGCTGGAAAGAAAAATCCTCTGAGCGCTTCGCCATCCTTGCAATGCAGAAGCTAGGTCTATAACTCTTGAATGATTTTGTCTGTCTCTGCCATAGGACATATATACCTCCATCAAACTTACATAAACGTTCTTTGTAGAAATTGATACAATTAACTGATTGACAAAGTGTCATGTCCTCGTCTCTTCTAAGAAGATATAGGGGCTTTGAGATTATTTCTTCTCTGAACTTTTTCTTACCTGAAAGCAGAAATTCTGTTAAAATGTATTAAGACACAGTTGAACATAACTTCCTGTTTTACCTTGCCAGTGATTTATGGAGAGACGTGGATTTTTGTGCTTTGAATAATCGAGTGACAAACTAAACAAGGAAACTGCTGTCCACTGAAGAAATGGGTGAGTCAAAAGGTAGCCTGCATGATGGGCTGACCTGTTCTTTCATGTCTTCTGTAAAATATTTTGCATTGAGATCCTCCAGAATTTTCTGTCATTGCTCAATATGTTTTTTTTCCCCGCCTCCCGCTTCTACCACTGTGTTTGATAGGTTAGGACAGGCTCTTGGGGTTACGTATGCAAGGCATATATATACATGCACATAAATACACAAACAGGGAGAGATGACAAATATACTATTTATGAGCAGCGGGCATCACTGCCCGTTATCCTTTGCTGTGAGAACACACCTGGAGAAGGTAGGACATCAAATGCTGAGTGCTATGTAGAGGGATTTGGTGGTGGCATTTAGCAGTTATCTCTGGCTAGCACAGAGTTAAATTTTCCAGGGCTTTGAAGGGAGTGTAACTCTGTCCCCTGTTAAGATGAAGCTGTCCTCTGGGATCAGATGGGGGTATTAGTTACACAACGCAGCAGCTGCTGCTGTGCTGTTCTTTGGAGGTGTTGAAGGGAAAGGCAAAAAGTTTGTATCAGCAAACGTGGGAAGGATGGGTGTGATGTAAAGCAGCTAGATGAGCCACATCAGCTGCCCTGCATGTCACAGCTCCATCGCTTCTGCCTGCCAAGTGGTTGGCAACAGAGGCTGGTGTTTTAGCTAACCCAGATTTTGTGCATCCTTGTTCTCTCACTTTTGCTGTTTGGAGTTGGTTTGGCTGATACTCGATCACTTAAGTCTTCTGCAGAGATGAGAAATTTCATCTGTCATTAGAGGGACTTCTGGGTAGTCAGAATATCTAATGATTGGGATGCTTATGAATAGGATGTTGTAACCTTTAGTGCTAAAGCACAGATCTTGAGTAAATGAGATTTTCATATTTCCACTGATTTTGACATAGCTAGGACAATTTCCATAGCAAAGGACAGGTATTTTAAAATCTCATCCAAAGTCTTTAAAAGTGAATCTTTGGTCAGAGAGGTATTGCTTGAAGTTCTGAAAGCCATCCAGGCATTTTTGATATGGAGTTTTTGTTAAGATTAGCGGCAGCAGGTTTACTGCTTGACCTTGAAAATCTCAGCACCAGAAGGTGCTCATCAACTTTTGGGCCAATAATCTAAGCACAGGAAATGCAGGGAAAGGTCATCCACTTGCCTCTATATTCATTCATTTAGTGAGAAAACATAGTTCAGTGCTTCTTTTCAGGATATTTCTGTTTGGTTTAAAAGCCCACAGGAAGAGCAGGAGTCAGCCTTGAGAATTTTTTTCTGAAATACAGAATTCTGTTTAATCAAAGGCTAGAGGTTGTACCTGCAAGTGACGTTTTTATACTGTTTTGTTTAGGGACTAATAAAGATTAACAAAGCTTAATATACTCACACTATCATTTTGACTAATGACTACTAATTTCTGTAGCTAATGTTCTGCTGTATTACATGAATGGTTGTAAAAAGTTGCCCTGCATCGTTTGTTCTGCTCACCCTAAAATTTATTATTTTGCATGCAAACATCTACTACTCTGCTCTACACAATCAGGAGCAGCTCCTCAGCCCAGATTTGGATTGTCTTTGTTAAATCAGAGGAGCTGAGCTCTGTCATCCCCAGGTTTAGCCCTCAAATTGCCTACTGTCCAAGTGTTGCCTGAGGTAAATCCTCTTGCAGAGTGAGTAAGAGGTTCTCAGAGAATTAATTCATGGTCCAGTTACTTTTACAAAAAGTGAATGATTTTTTATGGATTCTTCAGCTTCTCATTTCAAGACTTACGGATGAGGCATTTAAGATCTTAAGCTAGCTCAGGGAGATCATAGGATGCTAATGCAGTGAAAGGACTTAGATCAGATGGTAAATATGCTAACTAGGGGAATGTGCAAAGAATAGAGAATCCAAATCTATTTAACCTACTGGCTCATGGCTTCCCTCTAAAGCTTTTAACCTCTGTCTGCTACACTTGGCTGCTTTCCCTTAGAAATTTTAATTGCTGGAAGAGACAGGTATACACTCTCCTCCACCTGTGCAGGAGGACTGATTCAGTCTGGCTCAGTACCATTGCTGAGTGGAGTACAGGAATATTCAGCTGTATCTGGTGCCTGCTCATAAACAGGGCTGTGGCCAGGCAGAAGGTTAAACACAAGGTGGAACACTTGCTGTCTGAGAAGTGACTGCTTATGACACATAAAACACTTCATTGCATCTTTTGTTTGAAGATTTCCAGGTAATTTGGAAAAGAGTTTAAAACAACACACAGTCAGGTTCATCTGGGAGGTTTTCAAAACATACAAACATTGACATGCAAACATACATCATACATAACTGACTTGACATAATGTTACAGTCAGGGGTGCTGGTTGAATTTCTTGAAAATAAGGCTGCACATTCATGTGCTTTAAACCTTCATCTTTGAAAGCACTGTTTTTTTCATACTATCTTTGGGTTTCAAGACCTGTATAGAAAACTCAAGTATTTTTTCAAATAAATTCTAGAGTGAAGTGAGAAGTGGTGAAAAGTTAAAATAGTTTTAACTTAATAGGTACTGTGAATACTCTGTACTCACAAAACCCAAGTCTCAAATATTTGTTCTTCACTGTAGCTCAAAGTGTGCCAATATCTCTCCACTTCTTTTCCTGGGGAGTAGCAGAATGAGAAATTTTTCTTCATACTTTTTTTGTCTCTGTATGTAAAGTGCAGCTGGTCTCCAGGCTGTTTTCTTCCTTTGTTTTTCTCTTAAATATGTCTCTGTCTGTTGCTCGTGTAATTGCAGCCATGAAGGCCAATGGCTGTAAAAAGAGAGGGTTTGGAGGGAGAGAGCATTTTTCATCTAGAGAAAAAGTAAGCAAGTTGTTAGGCACTTAAATTCTTTTTCAGCTCTGAAATGTCTACAGTACAACAGAAAATTGAATTTTCATTTCCAGCTTTATCTTTTGAAGATTTTCTCTTGGTTGCCCTTGAGGGTCAAGCTTTGTGGATCACTTGGAGAGTGGGTTTATAACAAATGAGGGCTCTGTGTGGTTGAACAGTACAATGTGTGGTTGTTTGTTTTCTCACAGGGACTGCTGCTGACCTTCAGCTTTGATGGGAGTAACAATCCACTGGTGCCTGAGACCAGCATCCTTGGGTGCCTGGGGCAGGGATTTTGAGTCCCAAAGAGCTTCCTCTGTAGGGCAGCCTTCCAAATACTCTATCATTGTGGCATGTGAACCATTTCTTTAGCTTTGCATCCTGGTTAGTTTTTTCATGTAATAACTGATTGTACTAACCTTGTTAGCACTGATGGAAGTGATTTGCCTACTGAGATTTTAGTCATGATTTCTCTCAGCAAGGGGTGGTGCAAATCTTTAACATTGCTGCTAATATTAAAAAAAGGCCTAAGACATCACTCTCTGGTGTTTTTAGTGAGGGGATGAGAAACATCTGTCTTGAATGTTACAAGGAAAAAAATACTTCAGCATGCAATTTCATGTGTGAATCTGTGGTGTTCAGCAAGATGGAATGTGAACTCTTGGGGAAGATCATATCATTCTCCAAAATGAGGCAAAAAGGGCAAAATAACTATCATAGGAGTGTGAGTCGTGGCTTTCTAAAACCTAACGTATTTGATTTTTCTGTTAGTCTTTGTTTTACCTTGGGTTTTTTTTTTTTTGGGGGTTTTTTTTTTTTTTTTGTTTTTTTTTGGTTTTTTTTTTTTTTGGGAGGGGAGGGGAATAACTTCATGACAGAATGTGATTGAATAAAGACTGTCATTCATGTTTGCAACACGTTATGAAAATATCCTGGAGAGCCTAAAATAGTGCAGAGAGAGACATAGAATAGCCATGTGTATGGCTTCAAAGCTCTGGTAAAAGTCAGTGGGGTCACTCAATTTGATTTCACTCAGATCTACAGTGATATTAAAGCCTTGAAAATGCAGTGATAAGTGCTCAGTTAGAATTGGGTGAGCCCCCACTTCTCCTGGGAATGCCACTGTTCCTACCCATCCCTGCTGACTAGGAAGAAAATTTTAAAAGCCAGGATTAAATTTACTTTTTATACTTATTTTAACTGTCAGGAATTCTTCTGAAAAGACACGCCTCATCCGAGAAAACACAGAGTTTCCAGCAGAACTGTGCAGTGTGAGATCCTTCCAGAATCCTCAGTGGGAAAAAATTAGCCTGGTGTTATTTGAGATATCAGCATGCCTTTTCTGCTGTGCTTGAAAAAAAAGAAGTCACCTGTGCCTTTAGGAAGAAGTATCTTTCAAAAACACACCACTCCCATCCAGCAGAACTACCAGGCTTTGCTGGAGTCATGCTTGAAGAACAAATGCTTGTTCACAGACGATACCTTCCCTGCTCACATCAGCTCTATTGGAACAGGAGCACTGCTAAAGAAACTGCCCCGAAATTTACAGTGGAAGAGGCCACACGTAAGTGACTTTTAGTGAGTACTGTGTGTAAGAGGATGATTACAGATGATAGCCAGCAAATAGTTTTAGCATTGAACAGACGGCTGTTAGACTTTAATTTAGGTGTACTTTAATGTCTCTGGGGATTACATTTATTGTATCAGGTGTCATTTTGGAAGCTGGGGTACATGGAGTCTCATAATTGTCCTTGAAGCATTTGTTGCCCAAAATCATAACCAGCCTTGTTCCATTTATAACCAGTAACACTTGGAGCAGGCAGGGAGAGGAGGCAAAGGGAGCAGGGAGAGTTGGTTTCCTTGGAGCTCACAGCTACAGTGATCTCACTTGTGATTCTGTGGTGATTGATGAGATCCTTCTCCCCAGAGTTCAAGATCATAACCTTTTAGAAGATTTCTGGGTTTTCAGACAGTTCTTAGCCATGACCCCTCTCTCCCATGGACCTCATACTGTTATGAGGCTGGAGGCTGCTGCTTTCCCAGACAGGGCAGGTGCCTTATCCTCTTTTTGTGCTGGGTTTTTATCCCTGCTTAACTGTTTAGTCTATTGTATTTGGAGTAATCTTTCCCCAGCTCTCAAGGCTGAGGTTCTATCACAAGAGCATCAGTCTGTGAGTTGGCTTCGGTTTTGGCAGCTTTGTTTTCTACTTGTGCTCACATTTCCAAGGCCTTTGCTGGCATTCCAGGCTTAAACTGAACATCACAACAAGAGACACCCAGGTGCAAGGGCTGGTCACAGAGCATGTTCTCATAACAAAAGGGTTGATAACAAGTTTGGGAGGCCAGGACAGGGGCCTGGCACAGTTAGATAAGGCCTGTTACTAGCAATGGCAGTTCTGCTCTTACTGAGCCACTGAGCAGAGTATCGACAATCAGATCCTCCTGAAAGCAATGTACAGAATTATGTGAGAATTTCAGAATTCCTTTGTCTGTAGGGAATTCTGCCAGGTAATACTAGATAGCATCTCCCAGCTAAGTTATTTTCTAGCTGTCATATTTTGTGAGATTTAAACAATTTCCCAGAAGGATCAGGTTTCTGCAAATAAAAAAGTCAGCATTAGTCCTGGCCTCTACAAAGCCCTTCAAGTGTCTCTCCATGCCTCAGATACTAGAATGGACTTGAAACCTCCTCTGTCTCTCAGTGAACTATTCTGCTGCTCTGCTATGATTGTTGGGGTGTCCTGTGTAGGTCCAGGAGTTGAACTTGATGATCCTGATGGGTCCCTTCCAACTCAGCATATTCTGTGATTCTATGATTCTAAAACTGCCTTGTGAAGAAGGCCACTGTTTTCTCTGGATGCCGAACTTTCTGAGCAAAGACTCTCTGAGAATGGATGCTGTGCATCCTTCAGTACCTGTGCTGCAGAGGAGATGCTGAGATTCTGCCATTCAGCCTGCAGGCTTGTAGCTTGCTCCATCTATGAGTGATGGCCTGCAAACTGAACACCCAAACTCACCAAGGGCAGGGCTTGGTGTCTAATTACTGTGACTGCCTTCTGAGGGAAGCTGTTTCTTTGCTACTGCCTGCAGGGGAAGCCAACAGTGTGAAACTTAGCTTGAGCAATTTCTGGGTCATTCGAGTAAAATATAATTTTGACACTTAGGTTATTAATTTAACCCTAGAGGCACTTGTGAAGAGAAGAAAATCACCACATTATTTCTCTCTGTTCAATTATTCACAGACCTATTCTTGTCACAGCAACAGGAATTCTGTAGCAGCCATCAGCCTGTAGCTCAATTGTCAGTCAAGCTCTGGAGATGTCAGCCAGGTTGGGTGAAAGTTTGAACAGTTATGCTCTGCCCTCATAACCTCTTTTGGCTGACACTTGTGTGGAGGAGTGGGACTGGCAGGTTTGAAGGGTTGTCTTCTCAGCATGATGTCCATGGGAAGCCATGGTGATGCATCTGAGCACCAGTGACTTATGCTGGAGACCAAATTCAAGGCAGACCAAGCACAAATGTGTGCCCAGGCTGGTGTCAGGTTAGCCAGAACACATAACAATAGAGTTATACCTGAGCCAGAACAATGTCTGCTGGAACAAAGGACTCTCAGTATTTTAAAAGCTTTAACTTTCACGCTAGATCAGCTCATGTTACTGGCTTAACTCTCTCCTTTTTTTTCCTTTTCATTTTGTGCTTCCCAGGCATTGCACAAAAGTCCTGTATTTTATGCTGCAAACAGAAAGCAGCTTGATCTCTGCCAAGGATTGGTGGGTAAGGAAACTCCTTTGTATAAATATCTAAGTATTCTTACACAAGATAACATTTTGCATGGAAGTTTGAATGTATAAAACTTGGCATGGAAATAGAAGGTATCCATCTCCTCTCTCCACTTGGCATGGCGTGGATGAAGCAATTATTTACTGGCATAGGCTCAGTAAATAAGCTGGCAAGCTTTGAGGTGGGATTTGAGGCATGAGAGGTGTCTCCACAAGCTGAAATCACCACTATGTGTTGTTTCTGCCCATGCTAATAGGAAGTGTTCCTGTGCTCTTACTGGTTTGTGGTGTTGCTGCTTAACAATTGAAGAGAGACCACAGAAGGGCTTTATATTTGTACCTAATGCTCAGTGTGAGTGTGTTCTCTTCTCAGCCTTGCTGTTAGAAAAATAATTTTAAGCTTGTGTTGTCTAAAAAGACTATACTGCCATCTGAAAAACAGGTAGAGGTGGGACTGAATCAGTTTTTAAGTTCTTTATGTCCTTAAAGCCAAAGTTTGCTAAGTACAGTATTGCATGTGAGATCCACTGGAAATTATTTTCTTTTCTGAAAGCTAATGTTTTCAAAGAAAAATGGAAAAGTTTTTTTTTCAATAGTGTGCTTTTATAGAGAACAGAAAAAACCCCACACAATATCGGTAAAACAGAATGTTTCTGTTAACAGTTATTGCTTGCTAAATTTCTTATTTAACCAAACAGTACCCAAATGAAAAGATCATGAGAGAGCAATTACAAACCAATCATGGTTTGGCTAAGTAAAGAACATGTCTGGATCATATAATTTTGCGTGTATGATTTGTTATAATTGTAAAGACATCAGCACAACAGCTCTTCTGCTGGGATCTTGGTGGCGTTGCTGAACTTGGCTGAGAGCTCTCACTTTTCAGCCAACTGCATGTGTCCGTTTGTCTTGGCGCAGAGAACTGCTGGTTCCTGGCGGCCCTGGGAGCCCTGACATTCCACCAGGACATCTTGGCTGCAGTTGTGCCACAAAACCAGAGCTTTGAGAGGAAATACGCTGGCATTTTCCACTTCCGGGTACAGCTGCTCCCCCAGATTGCAGGCGATCCTCAGATACCCTCTGCTTTGTTTTGTGTCACACCCTTATTGTATGTAGTTCCCTTTGGCCAGGGGCAAGTGGCCAGAGGGTATCCCAGCCTGGAGAGGAGCCCATCACCCCTCCCACAAAGTAGTGCAGGCAGTGAATCAACTGCAAGCCGCTGAGGAAACACCTCTGCTTGGCTGCTCTCTCCAGCTGTGTCCACCCATATTTTAATGCAAACAAAATTCCTTTTCAAGAGTGGCAACAGTCAGCAGGACCTGAGCACATCAGCTCCAGTATTCTACCCCTTTGCCCACCTCTTGGTACAACTCTGCTACCCTGCAGTTAGGAATTCCTTCCCCAGAAGTCCACCTGTGGCTAATTTCCCTGCTTACTCCTTTTACACCTGATAGATGCTTTGTTTTCTCCTCTGGCTGGGTGGGGTTGAGGAACTGGCTCTGTGGGTGAGTCAGCACATCCCACTGACCCACAGCAGCTTGTTCTGTATCCACAGCTAGGCTATCTTGCCTTTCCTGTTGTTTCAAGGGGAGGTCCCTTCCAAGGGAAACATCATCTCATTCCTTTCCCCTGACAGTTCTGGCACTTCGGGGAATGGATTGACGTCGTGGTTGATGATCGCCTGCCTGTGAATGAGGCTGGGGAGCTGCTCTTTGTTTCCTCAGTCTATAAGAACGTGTTTTGGGGAGCCCTTCTGGAGAAGGCATATGCTAAGTAAGTGACTAATTTCAAGTTATGCAAATAGTCCCTCTAAAATATGTTGGTTGGTGCCTACGCAGTTTGTTCTTGTTTATAAATGCATCTCCTAGGCCTTGCTACATTTGGAATGCAGTAGATGGCTCTCATCTATCTATTATTACACAAAAAAAAGACAACAACAAAAACCAAAAAAAGCTGCCATTGCAGTAGCTGTTATCAAACCAGGCCCTTCAGTTTAAATCCAAGGGTTTAGGTGAAAAAACAGCCCTACTGTGGGGGATTGTCCTCTGAGTGTTATCATTGTTTGCAGTGTATTGGCTAAGGCTGATGCCTTCTTTGTAAATATCACAGAGTGGTAGACATAGATAGACATTTTTAAATGTGAATGATTTCTAAAGCCTCCTTTAATGTATTATCAGTGTGAGAAACCTCCAAGGATTTTAATTTTGGAGGTCTGCTGGAGCATTGCACTTTGTTTTCACAAATGTTTTTGCTCTCACGTGCCTAAAACTGAGGCATGTCTCAAGTCATATGGCATGGGGAGAACAGTGGCTTCTCTCCAGGGTGTTTTGTCTACCATGGTAGTATCAGCACAAAGAAGAAAGCAGCAAGGCCTAACTGATGGCGTTTGTTGATATTTGGCTGAAATAATCTTTGCAGAGTAGGGAAAAATACTCTAGTTAACATTGAGAAAAAGATCACACAAAGGTGAGAATGTTCAGTTTTTTTCATTTGGTGTTAGTGTTAGAGTGAAAAGACTGGGCCAAGTTGCACTGGAGTGATAAAGAAAATCAGATTAGAGACTGAGCTCTCAGGACAGTGTTTCTCAAGGTACTATATCTTAGATACAGCACAGTACCTGGTGATAAATTCAGGCAACATTCTCTAAGGCAGAGTTATCAAAGAGTTGTGATGGGCATGTTCTCATTACAGTGCAGTCAGGGATGACAGCTAGTGAAGAGTTCCTTTCAAACTATGGCCAGTCTTGGAGGCAATTTTGTAGATTCTCCTCTTCCCAAATGCCAAAAATTCCCTTAAAATGAATCATGAGTTACAGCCTTCCTTTTGCTTTTTGCACACTTTCTTTTATGTTTTCATTGGCAACCTGTTCTCGACCTGTCATCTGTGATGATAACCCAAAGATTATATTGATTTTTTTTTTTTTATAGACTCTATGGCTCCTATGAAGATCTGCAGATTGGGCAAGTTTCAGAAGCCTTGGTGGATTTTACAGGGGGTGTCAATACAAGGATCAAGCTTGCAGAAGCTCCTCCTGATCTGTGGGATATACTGACAAGAGCCACCTACAGCACATCTCTCATGGGCTGTCAGACACACTTAGGGGTGAGGCTTGGAGTGGCATCAAATGGCTTTACAGCCAAACACTTTTCCAGACCCGTTTCCCTCTGCTCAGCTGGTCATTGTGACTCAAAATGTATCAAAGCTGCCACACCTGGTTTTCTGTAGAAGTCACATTCTTCATGTTAAACTTTGCTCATGGATTGATTGCCTGATGCTCTTGGCTCCCTGTTGTTATGTTTAGGAGCTGGTTTATCTATCAAAGAAATTCTATTAAATAGGGATCTACTGCATTTCCCCAATTTTATTAAATAAATTTTCCATTTTTACAGATGGTGCAGTGAGGTACAGACACATATGGAATAGAGTTATAGCTAAGGTAGAGACTTGGGTCATTCAGAACATGAATTAAAGTCTTGGCTTCCAAGCTTTATGCTACCACCTCAGCTGTTGGAAAACTCTTACTTTTCTGAAAATCAAAACCTAACCTCCTGGAATTCCTTAAAGTGACATGGTCTCTAGCTGAAGACCCACAATTTAGGAAGGGCCATTAACAACCAACCTTTCAATTCCAAGCATACTGAAAAATCTGGCTCTTAGGAGATTACATTTATTTATTTATTTTCAGTTCTCCTGTTACTTTGAAAGTCATTGCTTACACAAATACAGGTCTCTGCTATTGGTATAAGTCTGTTGTATGAGTAGGGATAGAATAAAAGGTTTATTTTCCTTCTGTTTCTCTTTCTTGTATACAGACAACAAAGGTCCTGAAGAATGGGCTTGTTGCTGGCCATGCCTACACTGTAACTGGTATTAGAAAGGTAAGACCAGCCCAAATATCCTGGGTCCAGGTTAATTTGGATATTAGCAATTTTTATTGCATTCTTAAATTCAACTATTGATCAGATTAACTATAATATCTCCTCTCCAATACTCTTTTCTTAGTCTAAGGCTAAAAGAGACTGTGGGCTTTGTTAAGATTCACATTTTAAGTGTCTCCATTTTAATTTGGAGGCCTTTATGTAAAGGATGATTGTTATGGATCAGTGTATCTCTAAGGGTGGGAATGATTCATGAGGCTATGCCAAGACCATCACTTAGAAACTCATCTTAGCTGTTAAGAATGAAAGGACTGGCCTTTGTGGCTGCTGTGAGGATGTGCTGAAACTTGGGGATGTGCTTTTTGCTTAGGGTAAAAAGCCTTCCTCTGAAGCCAGTGGAGAGGCCATAGAGAAGTAAGGATGTAAAGGCCAAAATATGAAAAACTGCAGATGGAAATGTGGGTCAGGGGTGTGGAGTAAGGGAACTGACCTGTGCTCCTGTGCAGACGGGGCGGGGAGACCCCACTAATATGCAGAAAAATTGCTGGGAGTCCCCTTAGGATCTTTGTCTAGAGGTAAGTGACTTGAAATAATGTGTCCCAAAAGGTAGGAGCTTCTTCCCTCTGAATTGGTGGATGACTATCTTGTCCAGCCTCAAGAAGAGGTTGACAAGGATGGCAAAGACTGTGTGGGGCTTTGGACATTTTGGTGAAAGCATGTTCAGTACCTGTAGCAAGAGATACTAGGAAGGGCAGGGGAGATGAGCTGGATGAAGCATATCTGTTTCTCCCACAGGAGGAGCAGGAGGAGTTTATGTGTGGAGTTTTTCAACAACTTGTCTGTCAGTCTGGCTCCTCTGATGACATGAAGAGCCAGGAAGCCTTAAGGGACTGACCAAGCTTGTGGAAACAGTATGAAGTCAGCTGTTCTGCTGTGTACTGTCAGCAAAGCCCCTAATTGGCCTCTCCTCCCACCATGGCATCCCAGTTCAGGAGGCATTAATCTGTGTGGTCACCCATGGGGGCTGCATCGTGCCATTGCACTGGGGTAGGACTTTGTTTTCACACAAGTACAAAATGAGCAGATGTTGGAAAGGAAGAAGAATTTACAGTCAAGCCTTTAGATTAGGAATCTGTTATGTCTCTGGTTTCGGTTTAGAATGTAAAATAAAGCACCTTAATCTCTTTGTTGCTGGCATTTAGAGTTGCACATTCAAAGATTTTTGTCATCATACTTGCTGGCATCTATGAGAACAAACAAAATTGTTGCTAATATCTGACATAGTACAATGATATAAACCAGGTGAGAACTGCCAAGACCTTGGTAAGCACAATGTTACTGTTTTCTGCAGGTTACCTGTCAATATGGACCAGAAAACCTATTGAGACTGAGAAATCCATGGGGGAAAATTGAGTGGAAAGGAGACTGGAGTGACAGGTGAGTTTACAATAGGAAAGGTGTTACGCTGAGCAAAGGAAAGATTTCTTGGAGAAAAGATGCTGCCATCTTCAGGCATGAATTAATGTTGAGGTTAGCAGTAAGATAATGCTTGCACAGACCTTCTGGTGTCAAAGCAATGACTCCATAGATTTATATGTCTTCTATGTCTCCAGCAGACAGCGCTGCTGTAGCTGGCCTCACTTCACACATGCAGCCTTTATCAGATCAGTTCTCTTTTCACTAATGCCAGAGGAAACATAATATGAACATGAGATGCTGACTATCTTGCTGCAATGTGGAGAGCATGCAAAGGGACAGATAGCTCTGCAGGAGGCTCTAAGAAACCCCCATGTTTCAGGACACAGTTGTTTATCATGGGAGGGCCCAGGAAAATCTTCCACAGGCTGCAAGGTGTTGGAATTGGGTAACTAGGAAGGAGTCTTCTGTCCTGGCTGCTTGGGGAAGTACAGTCGGGCGTGAGATCAGAGGAAGCAACTAGTAGAAGTAAATGGACTCCATATTTGCATCTACCTGATTTTTTTTCTTCTTTCTTTTTAATTGGGACCCATGAAAGACAGTGGTTTGCATTCTAGACCATGGGCAACTGTAAACTTTTGTCCTGTTCCTCTTTGAAGTGGAGCATGTTTCTTGCTTCCAAGGTTCACTTCATTCCCTGAACAGGCTGTTTGCTGAGGCTCAAGGCATGGAAGGGGGCGAAGAGTAGAGAGGTCATTGGGAATGTGAATGGCTTTCACCTTGTCTGCAGAGCAGTAAGTTCTCTGATGCATGTCTGTCACATAATGACAGCACACCAGCTGTTCTGTTGAAGAGCATAATGAGCAACATACTGCAGGCCTGCCTTTGAAATTACTCCCAGCTGCCTCTTGTGCTGTCCTAGTCATTCATTCATTATGCCAAACACTCTTCCTATTATGTCTTCTTTAACAGAAAATTAACCAACAAAGCAGGTCTAGATTTTTATATTTTAAGTACTTGGAAGCTGTGTGTTCAAGTGAAGGGAGTGGCTGATGGAAATGGAACATTTCTGGCTTCTACTGCAGAAAACTGGACCCATTTAGCTATGTCTCATGGGACCCAGGGTGGTTGTGGAGAGTATTGTGTGGCTGAAGGCATAGTGGGGGATAAGCATGGAGATATGTAGAAATAGGGATTTGGCCTCTTTTTACAGAGGAAGATTTTGTCCTCTGCCTTGAATTTGTGGCCACATTTGGTTAGTCACCTCATGTTTTTCCCCTTAGCTCTTACAAATGGGAGCTGCTGAGCCCGAAGGAGAAGATTTTGCTGAGGAAAAAGCAGGATGATGGAGAATTCTGGTAATGACACAGTCTTGCTTCTCCCGTCTCACCAAGGCATAGGTGATGAGCTTTAGAGCAGCCCGTGCTCCTCTCAGCTTGACGCTGTGAGAAGGAGTGGCTGTGCTGACATGGTATGCACTGTTCTTCAGTGCAGGAGTGAGGGCAAAGCAGAGCATTGCTAGGTCTCCTGGGGCTGCTGGAGATAAAGGACAGCCCCAGGAGCTTTTTTCCTGCAATTTATTTATTTTTTTTTTTAACAATAACTTCGGGAAGCTCTTGTTTTGCCTGTTTGTCTGTGGTTTCTCCACAGCTTTTGCCACGAGGTGGCAATGTTGCCGCCCCTGTAATTTCACTGCACTCCCTTTCCTGGCAAGATTATTTTATTCTCTGTTTCTGCTATCCTTTGCTGAAGTTTTAGTCGTGCATTAGCTATTCCTAGATGCTGCTGTAGAAGCAGACGCTCTCTTCTTTACTGCCTAATAAAATATGAGCATTACCATATGTAACACAGAATGGTGAGGCTTCGAAGTTCCCAGCTCCCTTTTCGTTTTATGAGCCATATGGGCTAAACTAAACTGCTGACAAAATGTCTCTTGGTACTCTTTTCCCAGGATGTCTCTGCAAGATTTTAAGATTCATTTTGTAGATCTGGTGATCTGTAAATTAACTCCAGACCTGATGAGCCAGGAAGATGGGAAAAAGTGGATGTACTCTTTGAAGAGTGGGAGATGGGTTAAAGGAAGTACAGCAGGAGGAAGTTTGGGATTCAGTAAAGGTGAGGGGTGCTCTTTTGGATAGCTCTGACTTTTGGATGCTTTGCTGACTCAGTTACCAGCTCCTTATAACCTATTGACATAAAATTGACAACAGAAACATGCACTTCCTGTTTAAGCTTCCACACAAACGTCAGAAATAAGCAGCTGAAGAGTTTTGACTGGCTCCTGCTATCACAGAAGATACACTGCTTGCAAACATAGGGTAGTGGGCTGATTATAGCATGAAATAAGCTTTAGGATCCCAGGATCAATTGCCAGCACTGATCTGCTCTAGGGCATTAAACTTGTCTGCTAAAATTTGCATCCTCAGCAGCTCCAGGGAGTGTGTTTTAAGTAAAGTGAATAAAATAGTCAGAGGCTCAGGTCTTCTGGAAGCAGAGCAGGTGGAGTATAAAGTCAGCTAGCCTATACACCAAGGGTGAGAGAGGAATATAAACAAATGAGCATATAATGGCATGTAAGTAGAAGTACAGTTCCTTGTTCCTGGGTCTTTTCTCCTGTCTTAGATAGTAGTTGCACTGCTAAACTTGTAAACTGCACCTTAAAATCAAATTCCTGTGGGGTCTGGAGAGCCAGACAACCTATGACCTATTCAATCCAATGCCAGGCAACATGTGGGAAGCTGGCAATCAATTCTGTGATGGAAAATGGCATCAAAATGTTTTTCTTGTTTTACTTAGGCAACTTTTGGATGAACCCTCAGTACTGGCTGAATGTATTGCCAGTTGAAGACAGTAAGAAAAGCCCAAGTACGTGTAGTGTGGTTATATCCCTCATGCAGAAATACAGCACCAAACACCGGAACCGAGCCCCTCACCTTTTCATTGGATTTTTGCTCTATAAGGTGCAAAGAATTGCTTTGCTTTTCTTGCTCTCATCAAACAGGAGAACTTCCAGCCCCTGTAGATTGTAGTGCTCTGCAGGCCAAGAGTTTTTGTTGGGTGCAGGGTGATCTCTGCTCTTTCCTCCTGCCTGTGCCCAGTATCCTCACACATCAGGTCTAGGCTCCCTTGGGCTCTGTGCCCATTTGCTGCCTGTCCAGCATGTGTCACCCTGCAGAGCAGTGAGAAGTGCCTTTTGCTTCAAAGCACATTGGGATTTATTTTCTACCTCTGAGGGAATGTGCGATTGGAAGCTGGAAGAGGGTGCCAGGAGTCCCCTTACTTTGGTGGGTACAAAGAGATCTGCCCTCAGGTTATTTCCAACCATGGTAAAATTGTGCCTAAAAAATGTTCCTAGTTTGATGTGGCAGCTGCTCATGTGTGCATACCACTAGCTCCCCATGTACCCAGAGGTGAGTGGATATCACTAGCAGTGTGAGTTTCCTACCTTCAATTCCCTGCTTATCTGAGTACCTTGAGGGCCACTCTTCTCTCTTGAACAAAGCCACAGGTCATGTTACTGCTGCAAGCTTGCACAGTTATGGTGAGGTGACTGTGGGGAAGGGTTTTTGGGTGGAGGGACTGAGGTTTCTGAAGGCAAAGACCTCATATAGGTGTTTGTAGCTGTTCTGTTTCCCAGGAATGGTTTGGCTGTGTGTGATGAGGCACAGAGACTGACTGACAGATGTTGTTTCTTTTCTTCCTACAGGTGGGCCTACAGGTGAGTCCCTTGTCACCACTGCTGACTGTTGTCTGGGGACCTGGGCTGGCACAGCTGTTAAGACAATGCTGAATGTGGTGTGTTTGCCTTTGTTCTTTGGCTGACAACGTGTGACAGTATTTGAATTCAGTGAGTCACCACAGCAAGGCACTACTAATGCAGAACCATCTATTGAAAAGCAGCCATATCAGGACAGCTCATTGGCCTTGAGAGTGGGCATTAAGTTGTTCAGCTTCTCTCCTGGGTCTTCAGAGGTATTAGAAGTTGCATCAACCTTTACCTGATGAGCACTTCAGCCTTGCTGCAGTTGTGGGATAGTACCCCAATTCTTAGCTGTGTCGTGGGAGTCAGAGCTGCCTTTCTGCTGCCTTCCGGTCTTGGCATGAGGTGGGAAAAGAGCCTATGCCCCATGTGAGTCAAAGATCTCCTAGGGAGCTCAGGTTCCTGGCTGTCTGATGGTACAGGTGTTTTCACCTTCTTCAGGTCAGCTGCACTTCTAGCATTTTCCTTATCCAAGAGATAAAGGTCCCTTTGGGACCTGAGAAAGGGTCTTGAAACTTAAATCCTGATTAAGTCCTGATTTTGTCCCTGACCTCAGAGGGCTATTTAAAACAGGGAAAGATTTAGCTCATATTATCTTTAAAGGGCATATCTTCCACTCTGTTACTACTCAAATGAGAGTACACCTCTTAAATGAGAACTTGGGCTGGCAAAGAACTAGTTTGGGTATATGGTATGGGCAGCACAATTGTGCTCCAAGTTACTGTAGACCCAGCATGGTAAAAGATGCACTCCTTCCTGACTTGAGTATCTTGGGCACTATCAGAGTTACCTTCAAGGTAAACTTTCTAGCAGAGAGGGTCTGTGTGTGACTCTAGTACAGTGCTCTGCCACACCTGAGTGGGAATGGTGGCAGCCAGGACTTCAATTTCAGGTTTGTAGTGGTTGCCAAGATCAATACAGAGAGATGGCAAGCTGAGTGCATCTAAGGTATTGGAACTGCTGTCAAGAGAGTATTGACTGGAATATAAAAACTTGGAATTTAACATAAGGGGCATGAGGAGGAGTAACCCTGAACCCTTCATAAGAAAGATTGCCCTATTAGTAAGAAAAATACTGGCAAAGGAAGAGGAATAGCATCTTCCCATGAGGCTGCAGAGTAAAATGGCTAAATGTTTTGAGGAACAGCCAAGATCAGAAGGTGACAGTAGTTTTAGCTAGCAGGATTATTTATTGGGCTTGTGTACTGGGCACTCAGTGGCATTAAAATTAGTTTCATGTTGCCTGGATCAACACTTTATCCATCATCCTGTGGCAGAAAAGGGCCTGAAGAGCAAAGAGTGCCAGACAAATCAAGGACACTTGCATGAAGTCAGGACAAGGGCTTAGGTTGCTCATGAAATATGCTCAGGTCACAGGTGTTCTGAAAAATCCTCTGCTACCAGATCCCTTGTGCAAAGGACAAGCTGGGGACAAAATCTGTGGTCCCTGTCGGAGAAGAGGTGTTCTGGCTAGTGAAGGGCAGTCTCTAGAGCAGTTTCTGCCTGCAGCCATTTTGGCCCATATGGCAAAGACTTTTGCAGAAGCCACATTGACAGCAACAGCTTCTCATCCCCAGTTCTTGCTGCTATTCCTTACAAGTAGTGTAAGGTTTTTTTTTGTGCAGGAAGCACAGTCTTTTGTCATATTAGTATTGGGCAAGAGTGCTGCATAGTAAGAACGACCATATCCTGGGACGAGACTGAGTCCTTTGGGCTCTGTTACCTGCTTGTGCTGTAAAACAGGCCGAGATGTGATGGCAGGCTGGCTGTACCCTGCCCATGAATCCTCCACGCCCTTTGTCCATGTGTTCAGCTGGGGCAGAACACAATTCTCATGCCTTTCTTCCCTGAACAGTACCAAGAGAGCAACAGAAAGCTGCCCCCAGGTTTCTTCACGCGACATCAGCCTGTGAACAAGCACCAGGTTTTCCTTGATGAGCGGGAAGTGACTTATGACTTCCATCTGGAGCCTTGTGTCTACGTGATTGTCCCATCCACCCTGAAGCCTCAACAAGAGTCTGAGTTCATCCTGCGGGTCTTCTCCAGGAAGCACATTCTTCGGTGAGATGCTGCTGCCCCTCTGCCAGCACCTAATTCCCTGGGAAAGTCTGGTCTTTCTAGTCTAATGGGGGCAGCATAAAGACTTAACTGTGCAAAAAGCAGCACAATCTCTTTCAGAGAAGCTAGCTCTGGATTTTTCTTGCTGTAGGATTCCCAGTGGTTGAAGCACTGGTTTTGGCCTTATCCTTTCAAAGATGGCTGAGATAGGCCCACGCAATTCTTGCAGTGTGCTCTTGTTTGAGACTGTTAGAAGGATAAGAGCTCTTTAGCTTTTTAGGTCCATTAGTTTGCCAGGAACTCCCTGCTGACAATGCTAGGATGGTTGCTTGTGCAGAAATGGGTGCTTTGGCTACTTCAAATGCCAGCAGCTTTTGGGGTCCTGTATGGATATGAGACTCTGCCTTACTGCTGCTGTAACACCAGAGAATAAAACACACAGCAAGAGCAGGTTGGGGCCCCATCCGGGGAAGAGGAATGACACCTGTGGTGAGACAAGCACACAGCTCTGAGATCTGTCCTAAATGTGTCTGCTTTTTTACATCTCCAGGGAAATGGGCGGGAACACGAGCTTCACCCTCTCTAAGGTGAGGGGAGTGGGGGGTCTTGGTTCAATCTACAGCTCTGAATGTTGGGTTTTTACTGTTGCTCTGCCCTAGAGGAGAGGCTGAGTGAAAATGTCAGTGCTTGTGTTGCAGCACTTGAAAGCACAGCTTGGGTTTACAGACAGAATCCTTTGGACTAAGGGGACAGATGCAATCAAATGTTGGGGACCGGCAAAACTTTAGACAGCTTAGTTGCCCTTTTGCAAACATCTTTTAATGATACCATCTTGCTTGCTCTACAGTCTTTCCTGTTCATGGCTTTTTGGAGACTCATGGTCCATTCTTGCGCTTCTCCCCATCCCTTTCAGGCTTTAAACATTTTGATGACATTATGGGACCTTAGCTGTACTATTCCCATGCAATGGCCTGAATGTTATTTTCAAAAGAACTGGTCTCAGTGGCAGTGCATGCACGTCTGCAGCTTGTGCTAGGGAACTTAAGGCATTATCAGTTCCCCTGGCATAAACAGGGCCTTTCCTGCTTTCATCTCCTCTGCTGGGCTGTACAAAGGAGAACAGAGACCCTTCTCTCTTCTTGGCACATAGTGAGCCCCATGCTTTGCACAGCTTGGGGTGGAGTGAAAGGAATGTTTCTCCCCACTAAATGTTATCTGAGTATTTCTCTCCAAGAAATAGTAGTTCTGTGATGCAGGGAGGTATCTTAGCAGTGGGCTGTATTAGTGATGTAACACTGATTGCAGTGGTGGGCAGAGGGGAAGGGACAGGGAATGGAATGCCATGCTGGGAAAGCATCTTTAATCATTTGGTTGACAATATTTTTCTTCTGCAAGTTAATGATTTTTTTTTTTTGATACCTTAAAGGAAATTGTTGATAGGTATGAAGGCAAGATTTGGGAGGATTTCTTCACAAAGTATTTTGAACAGGTAAGTGCTTGTGTGAGTAAACTCCTCCAGGCCTATTATGTAGCTCTGTGAAAGTAAAAGCATCTGGATGTTCAAGGGAGGTCTGTGGATGTGTGGGGAGCAGAGAGGGGCTATGGAGAGGAGGTTGGACTCTATGTACAGTGATGACTCCATGCAGCAAATTTGCCTGTGAAGTTTAGCAATGTGATAGCATTGAGACAGGTACACTTCTCTGCACAACAGGGTGTCAATGCCTTGAATTTAATGTGAATGTGACAATATCAAGAGGCTCAAAAGGCATTAGCAAACTAATGGGCAGAAAGTCCATACACATATGCTAAATGACTGAGCAGGGATGTACCCTCTAAGATCACTTTTCCAACAGGGAAACAGCAGAATGGACTACAGAAGCTGACCAGGCTCACATGCTCTCCTTAAACATTAATTCCTGTTGCCTGTATTGGGGACAATGTGATGGTCTATGTGGGTCCATCCTACCCTTTGGGGCATTCACTGGGGAAAGCTATCTATTAGAGAACACCCCTGAAATATTGAACCTTGTCTCATGCTTACTTCATCACAGTTGGATGGCAACTAACTTGCTTTGAGGTATGAAATAGATACTGGGTGTCCCATCATCTTTTCCCCCTTATTTCCTACTGAAATACAATCCTTACTGTGAATGATTATTTTTAGTGATTTCTCAGGCCTGATTTGGGATGGAGCTGGCCATCAGGGATCCCACTGACTGTGGGGAGGATTGCAAGCATTTTACCTTTCAGAAAAGGTCACTGCATTTATTTAGCATCATACCCTGTATTTGGCAAACACAATTTCACAAAAACAAATTTGCACTTTTAATAGGAATATTTTGAAGGAAGCTGTTACTAAAAACAAGGAATGCTTTCACTTTTTGCCCCTTATTTAAGAATTTTGGTTTTGAGAATGGTGTGGCTTTGATGTGCTAGAAATTGCCACACACTGTGAGTTGCTGGTCCTTTGCTGTCAGGACGTCCAAGTACGCACAGAGACAAAGACAGATACTGCCATTTCTGAAGGCTTTACCCTGACATATCTCAATGATCTGAAAGCAGGCTTTTATTTTTGAAGAATGACATTTAAAAAAAATCCTCCAAACAAACCATTGTCATAGCTTCTAAAAGATTTATAAACTTTAGTATGACAAGGGAGAGAGCAAGTCTCTGCTTTGAAAAGTTTGGGTAGAAGTATTCCAAAGTTTCCTTTTTTTTTTTTTTTTTGGTTTGTTTGTTTGTTTGTAAATGATAAAAGGGGAATGTTTGAAGCAAATCTCTTGACAGTGTGCTTGATGGGACAGATGGCACCAGGGCTGAAAGGCCTGTATCCTCACTCAGTGGAAATCTGCCCTACTGCACTGATCTGTGTGGAGCCCTGAGAACTTAGCCTAGAGCACACTGCAGCCCTTACAGGCTCAGAATCTTGTCATATTCAAAGGGAGTCTTTTCTATTGATTTTCACTGTGGCTGGAGTGGGGCCAGAAAAGCAGAGAATGAAGATGGGGCATGCTGGGAAAACAAAAGAGGGAGAAAAGTGATTTAGTACTTAGAAAAAAAACCCCTAAATTTCTCTTCCATATCACAGAATCCTGAAATAAATGCTGTTCAGCTCCAGAGGATCTTGAATAATATATCTTGGAGAAGTAAGTGCTGAGAAATAGCATTTCTGCAAAATAAGCCCTCTAAGAGAAAAGCCTCAGCTCCTGTATCTATTTCTTGAATTCTGGGAAGAGAAACTGGCTTCAATCTGACTGAACTGACTCTTTTGATGCCATGTTAGATTTCCAGTGCAAAAGGATTTGCTGGGGTGTGAATCAATATGGCAGAAATGTTATAAGCAGAGCTAATCTAGTTTGAATTTCAACAACTGAAATAATGAGGGAGGAGAGCAAGCATGGATGCAGATTCCTAATTTGGCCTCCAAACCTAGCTTGACCTCAGCTTTGATTCTAAAACTGTATCTCATTTCAGCCTGTGCCACTGCCTCAGTCTCAGCAGCACCAAACTAGAAGATGTGGAAAGCCTGGTCTGTAGGAATTGGTGTGGTGGAGGAGGGTCTTGCCTTTACTTTCACGTGCTTGCTCCATGCCGCTGTTGCTATTTACTCTTCCCTACTGTGCATGCATAAAGCTGCCCCTTGCTCTGTGTTTGGGGGACAGGATGAGGTGCAGGTGGCCTCAGGTAACCCAAGCTTGTGAAAACCAGGTGAGCCCTGAGCTTGTCTCTCTCATGTGTGACATCCACTCTGCTGGGGACAGCCCAAAGCACTCCACAGGCTTATAATTTGGACCTTGGTAACAAATAACACTACCTGGGCAGCAGTGAGGCATTGCAGTGGCTGTTCTCTCTGAACAATGACAATGAAATTACAGATATAATGATGAATCCAGATTTTTTTCCTGGTTACTTCACTGGTAACGATTAATATGCAACATAGAAAATGCTCCATCCAGCCATTACAGGCAACAAAGAAGATGATCAAAAGAGTGATGTGGTGCCTTTTTCACTCAAACTGAATTTGATATTACTCTCTTTTCTACAAAAGTGGGCAAGGATAGTTCTTCTGTCTTTGTAAACTGATCCACCAGGCACTGTCTTATCTGTGAGAAAACAATATTGAACAGGGAGTCTTTGCTTTTAATAAATTATTGATTTTAAGAATTATTTTCAAATCTTTACGGTACTTGGTTCATATTTACTAAACAGGGCTGTTACAATATTAAAATTATTAAAGCATCTTGACTTCCTGCAGAGAAGGGATTGGTGAGTTATGATTCTGTCCCTTACTCAGTGGAAGATGCAGACCAACTGTAATTGTGATTTGCAGTGAGATTAGAGCCTATTTCTGTTACTTTTCATGCAAGTTATATATGAACCAGGAATGCTAAGATTTGAGGCAGCATCATGTTTTCAGCAGCGCCTGTACTTTTAATTATATTAACGGAGCTGGCAGCATGTCTGGGAAAGAGAGGGAAAGAGAGACGCTTAGTACAAGGGTTTCAATTAATCTGCAGTGCTGTTCCCCAAAGCTCTTCAGGTCAAGTGACTTTGCTCAAGGTCATGCAGTAAATTCTGTTTGGGATTAGAGCTTTGGATGTCCTTTTCCTTCCATTTTCTCTAATAGCTGGAGATACTGTACCATATTTCATTCTATATTACATGCCTTCAGGGAGCTCATATTGGATTTTCTGAGACTAGTAGAATCCATCCTGTTGCCTCATATTTTTATCATCATAAATGATACATCTTCTCAAGTGGGTGTAAAGGTTCACAAAGGCTTTGGGGGCTGACGCCCCTCAAGTAAGGGGGAATTTTGTGAGAGTCCATTTTTCTGAGAGATGTCCATTGACTCCCCAGAACATTTTTATTTTTTCCCTCTCCAGATTTCCAGAGTTTTCGCCTGAATTTCAGTCTGGATTCCTGCCAGGGTATCTTGGCACTCCTGGATGTATCCTTGTCATGAGTGATGCTTCTGACTCATACAATACTTTACCAGAGCATTATTTCTTAGGCCAGACTGGATGTTACTGTGATTTCTTTACCACCAGGACATGGCCTTGCTTATTGAACTTCTCACCCTCCATAATAACAGTTCAGCTGTAACAGACTGAAGCTGGTTTGGGAAAGGGTTGGTTCCTGCCACTTCTAAAATCAGCAGCCAGGTTTCCTTTGGCTTTAGTTGAGGGAAGATCAAGTCTATAAATAGGCACATGGGCTAAGAAATCATTATCCTCATACTATAATTGCATGGATGTTAGAGTGGCTGCAGGTTTCTGGGTCGTTTGGGTTTTTGATTTGGCTTTTTTTTTTTTTTTCTTTTTTCATTTTTTAATATATGTAATGAGTGCTTTCTAATGTTTGAGATGTTCTGACCTTAATGCTCCCACTAAGCTGAATGCCACTGGCACACTGAGTATCCAGGAATTCAGAGTCCTATGGAAAAGGCTGCTTTTCTATTTGGTATGACAGCAATTTCATGCCCCCTTTCAATATCTCCCTGCTCACAATCCCTTTGGTGTCACCTGTTGGGTTTTGGGTGGTTTGGTTTGTTTAAAAGTACTCCCTCACCCCACAGGAAGTTTTCCAGAAGAGAGACACCAGCAGATCAGGAAAGCTTGACCTTGTGGAACTGCATGCAGCTGTACAGGAGACAGGTGAGCCCACAGCATATTTTGGCAAGTCTCATCTTCTTGCTCATGAAAGCTGAAGAAAAAGCACAGGGCTGGGAAACATCTTGATAACTGTGTGTAGAGCTCAGGAGGAGTGGAAAACATTATAGTTTGCATGGCCTTGGCTATCTCTTCTTCCTTCTTTAGCTGGGTAAACACATATGAAAATTATTTTGCCATGGGATGGGCTGCCCACTCTTTTCTCAGTGTGGTCTCGCACTGAGAGTTGTCTGAAACAGAAGTGTCTGCCTATTTCAGACCAAATTTTTAAACTCTGTCCTGTGTGTTGCTAAGTGAATTTTTAAAGATTTTGTGGAGTTGTGGGGATGCAGGAGGCCAGATCCAGCTCATATTAAATTGCTGCTTCTGCTGAAAACGACAGCTCAGGGACCAAACCTGGAAGCGTGGGACTTGCACAGAGGCTATATAGGTGCCAGACTTCACTAATTCACATGCAGAGTCTGAGGCTTGGTCTAGAAATGGAGGATGATCCATATGGGTTCAACTACCGGACCGAGCTCTGCTGCTATTACTGGGTGTTGTGTGGGGGCTGGAGCTCAGTCTTGTAGCTTCCTTTGCATGTTTACACCTTAAATATCATTCCTCATTTTGGTGCATGTTCAACCAGTTCATCTGAGTCAGTGAAAGCACAATGAGAAACCCAGGCAGACCTCTGTTAAAGCAAACTAAAATCCCAGACCAATAATAGAGAATGCTTTTGTTCCTTGCAAATGCTGCTGCTTGACGTTGGGACTGATGCTTTCTGTATGAACTTTCTCTGGATTTTCTTTTTCATCTCATTTCCTACCCTCTTGGGAATATTGCTCTTAAACCTAGCTGCTGCTATTACCCTCATATCCCATGAGCAAAAGAGGCCTATTTGTATTTTATTTCAACTCTGGAAGGACTGTAAGTATGGGGGAGTAGACCTGAACCCTTTTAAATTTGGAGAAGATATGTCCATGTAAAGGTCTCATTTGTGCTGGCTAATACTTGATTATCTTAGGCCAGGCTTGAAAAACAAAGCTGTTGGAGAAGGGATGAAGACCACTCAGTTGTGCCATCTCATTCTGTGTTCCGTTTTTCCCCCCCATTTTATGTAGGCATTTCACTCAGCAATGAAGTCTGTAATTTGATGGCAATCAGATATGGTGACCCTGACTTACAGATCAGTTTTGAGAGCTTTGTTTGCTTCATGCTTCGAGTGGAGATCATGGGAGGTGAGGCTGGTGTTCTGTGTCTGGCCAGGCAAGCTGGGCTGCCAGCTGAGCCGTGGCCCCTCTGATGCTGTTCCCACTGGCAGTGGGAAGCGGGAAAATTGCAGGACTGGATTTCTGAATAATGCAAGAGTAATCAGTTTAAAACAAGGGACAGATACAGAGGAAGCTAAGCTCTCTCTTTACTTCCCCACTAGTCCCTTCCTACAGACATCTAAGCTGTATACATCGGAATGATTAAGCTCTCTGCATATTTGCACCGGCCTTGTAGGAAGAGGTAGAACAAATTACAGATGAAAACTACTTGTTTTCCACGAAGAAGACAGCCTTGAAATAAGCCTTTTCCAGGAAGAATAAAGCTTTGAAATATGTCTTTGGTGGGCTGCAGTTTGATGATGAGACAGCTGATACTCAGACCATGCTGAAGACACTTAGCACATGTCTCATAATTGTAGTGGATAAGGTTGGGACCACTAGCATTTTGAGGTTTTACAGATGGATGGGCAGACAGTAACATGCCCAACTTTATTCAGCTGCTCCCAGTGTTCCAGCCTTCAGGAATCTCCCAGGGACAGAACAGAGAAGCTCACATGCACTTGAGAACAGCCTACAAGCTCTGCCTTCGGGGTTTTTCCCAAGACAGTGCCTTGGCTGTGGTGATCTCTTGACTATCAAGTTAACACTCCTCATTTCCTTATTTTGCAGAGGCCTTTCGCAACTTAACACAAGATGGCAAAGGGATATATCTCCGGGAATCTGAGGTAAAGCCCATCCCCTGACTGTCTGATGCAGGCCCCTTTGTTGCATGTGGCACTGCATGTTTTATTCTGTAGCCTTAGAAATGGTATCTTTAACTGACCACTTACAGGGTAGGTTACAAACAGCAAGGAGGCTCAGACTTCTAAGTCTTCTGCTTTATTATGGCTTGTATTTCTTCTGGAGGCAGAATATCGCCAAAGCCCTGTAGTTCAGTCCAGGTGAGAGTATGGCAGAGCTCTCACAGGGATGGATTATTTCAACCCCCTTTCCGTATTATTTTCAGTGGATGATGATGACACTTTATTCCTGAAGCAATACTGTAGAGGAGACAACCAGACCTGTACCAAGACGAGGAAGGCTGCCTGTTTCAATTTTTTACTTCATGTGAAAAGTCTTTTCCTCAAGCAGGCTTAACATGATAACCACAGACTTGGTGAACTCAAGTTTTACTAATTAACATATTTATTATGAGTCCTACTTCACTTCAGACAACCCGAATAAGGAGAGACCGTTGGATGCCAATTACCACAAGTGCACGGTGTGACACCCTGGAGCACGACTGAGTTGTTTGGACCACCTGCTTCAGGCTGATGTAATGCTGCTGTTATAGGCACACATTGTGGCAGTGCCCAGAGGCTGTGCTTGCTGATGGGGCTCTTGAATCTGGGAGGGAAAAGGCCCCTGTCCTGAGAAACTTGTCACCTGATAGAGGATCCCCATTCTGTAGCTGCTAGGTCCATGATAGCTGGAATCTGTGGGCTTCTGAGAAAGAAGGGGTAGAGACTCACAGAATGAATGAACAGTCTTCCCTAGCCCTGACTTGGAAAGGTGATTGCAAGCATTCAAACAATCTCTTTTGTTTTTGTAAGTTAACATAGCCCTATTGAAGTGGCCCTAATTTGATTTGACCAAGTGATGAGCTGAGCCTCCAGCTGTTTGTTGCATGGTTATTGTGTATTTATTTTAGAAAAGTGGGTTTTCTCTGCAGATTGAAAAGTACAGTACAGTGAAAAGTAAACTAATCCCATATGAAGAGACTGGCAAGGAATGATTGTTCTCATAGGGTGATAGGAGCTGTCTGATAAAATATTTGGATATTTATTTTCTATAGGGTGAGTGTGTGTGTGTACTTCTAAAGGATGCAGGTAAATGTAGGTTGTAGCTAATGAAATAGTACAACCCAGGTGTGTGACTGTGGACAGTGTTAGAGAGCATGGTATAAGTGGGACTATTCACATCAAATTCCATGAGAGAGTTACTTGATGCATCTGTAGGATCCTTTTCCACTTTCTTACTATTCATTTATTTGGGCTGGAAATTTCCACGCTAAGTGACTGTTACAGTTTGCTGCTTTGATTTTTTTTTTCTTTTTTCTCCCCTTTTTTGCATTCCTGCAGACAGCTCAATTTAGGCTCTTTTACAGTGCACAGCCTAGTCTGAGTCTGGGTGCTAAATGAAACAGAGCTCCAATGGGAATGAACATATAATGAAAGATCACACTCTAATACCTTTGTAGGAAGGAGTTATATTAAGCTTGCATAGGCAACCTTCCCTCTGGCTTTTTGTGACTTTTTACGTGCTTAATCTCATAAATATTTTTTCAGAGTGCATGTAAGATTCAGGAATGAACTGGACTGTGGATAAGAAAGTAAACATGGGCATGACTGAGCTCAGGGATGTGCTTACCACTGCACTGAGGCCTGAGCAATAGCATAAGCATATTTATAGAGGAACTCCTTTGCATATAAGTGTTCCCAGTCAGGAGGCATTAAGCAGTAAAAACAACAGCATGCACTTTATTCCCCAGAACAGTCTGTTTCTAAGCAATATCATTTTCATCCTGTTTTTATGAGAAAACTGTTAGAACCAGATAAATAGATGGCTGTGTTGGTACTTGTTTATTACAGATGATATATCTATCATCTGTTGGGAGCAACCTGCTGTGGAGTCACAGGGTTCAGTGTGTGAAGCAGAGCAGATTGGAGGGAGCAGGGACACCCATGGCCCCTGGAGCATCTGAGGGATCCATGTCCCACTGGACTCCCAAAGAGGCTCTGTGTCCCACCAGGCTCCTGAGGGGGCTTCATCAGCAGCTCCCTCTAAATGCACGTCCCTGTTTCCTTTTGTGACTCGCAGCTGAACATGATGGTGCAAACTAAATTAGCCTGATTTAATTTGCACTCAACTCAGCAGGGGATGTTATAAACACTGATTTACTGTGTGCAGGAGCAGCGTTGGAAGAACCAAAACTGTTGGTTGAGGGAGCATAGGTCCTGCTTTTCTCAGCATGTTTTAGAAAGGATGGTCCCTGGCACCTGTGGGAATGTCCAGGGGCATCTGTGTGAGCTCAGAGTGTTCACAGCAGGTTCTGTTGGACATGATGGGACGGAAATCTCTCAGTCCCAATTGGGTTTGTTGCACATTTAAGGCTGGGAGTGTGCTGGACGTAGCTCTGCCACAGGCTGTGTGCAAAACTGGTGCAGGACACCCAGTTTCAAAATGCAGCTCATTTTAATGTTGTACACATTGTTTTTTCTATCAGATTTTGTACTTATTTACTTCACACCTCTTTAATGCAGAACAATGTAATTGCAGGGAGATTATTTTGCTATTGATTACTTGATCCAGGAAAGAAACAGAATTCATCCATGCCATGAATCACTAAGCATTTGCAGCAATAAACTTTATTGAGCCATGTGACTTGCTGTTACAGAATTGTAAAGAATCTTTTACTGGAATGATTATACCAAACCATGTACAATTCAAACTGAATTATCTTGCTCACAATAAAATATTTTTGGCAAGGGCACCAACTCGGACACTGTGAAGCTTTTTATATTGCTAACAGAATAATGTTTTCTGGGCAATTCTGAAGATATATTACTCCTCATTTACAATGTGCATTGTGAAAAAATGGTCTGAAATGCTGCTGAAGGATGCATACGTTTGTAACCACAGCATTTACAGGGATGCTGAGCTTTGCAGTGGGTGGTATTGCTCTAGCAGAAATGAAAGAAAAATGGGACTGTGGCTTGAGACTAGTATTGCTAATAAAAGTCCTTTTTGAAAAAGGCAGGTGCAAGAATAGCAAATAATGTCTGGAGTGGGAAGAGGAGATGGATGGTGAGGTATATTGTAACAATAAGGCTGAGATGAAATTGAAAGGGACTAATCAACCCTTTGCAAACAGAGTCTTCAGCTAGAGCTTATTGCTGCAAATACGCACACACACCTGAAGTATTTCATGTTTCCTGGACATAGTTAGTGCGCATGTTGAGGGTGCAGTTGGGGTACAGCAGATACGAGTAGTCATCCTCACTGCACACATGCATTCTGCATGGTCAGGGTGTCCGACTAGATGGCAACAGGACAGGCTCTACTCTCAAGCCTAACAGGACTCCAAAAGATCTAAGGCTTACAGGAGTGACAAGCACAGCTGGCGAGGTCATGGTTCCAGTGAAGAGCTGTGGCAGTTTTAGGCAAAAAGGGGAAGAGCTGTCCTCTGGGGACAGGTAACCACAAGGCAAATCACCCCAATATCATGGGCTCTTGCCCTTAGGCAGCTAGGGATGACCACCCTAGAGATACCAAGCTGGCCCAGGTTTGAGATAGGCAGAAATACTCAATCTGTGTGTTTCTTTCACAATCAATTAAAAGATGTTGAGATACTGCAGTGTAATTCTCTGAGGTCATATCTTGCCTTTTACCTGTTTTATAGTGGGGCTTCCAGGACTTCTGCCTTACCTAAAAGCATAATGAATTCTTTGCTAAGAGGTATTCTATTCATGCAAATGACTACTGCACTATCATAGCTGTCCAAGCTGTGTCAGCAGACTTTGATCACAGTGCAAGATGCTCTGTGTGGAATGCATGATGCTGCTGTGGTTTTGATCATTAAGCAGTACATGTAATCCTAACTCCATGACCCACAAACGGACCTCTAAAGGGTAAGTTGTTATTAGACCAGCACCATAAAAATGAGAACTCTTGAAGCTTGTGGAAGGAAAAGCCTGTTTCCAGGGACAGAGGGTGCTGAACACTGTCCACTGAGCAGAGTGAGTGCAAAGTGTGCCACTTTGTACAGGGCAGTGATGGGAGTGAAGAGACAACACGGGGACATGGAGTCAAAGCCACTGCTAAATCCAAGTGTCCGCCAGTCCTCAGTTGTGGGAATCCAGGGCTTCCCTCTGTCTGCCCTGGAGGGCCTGGGACCCTGGCAGGGGGTCAGGAACCCCCCTGGACAGAGCCCCGAGAGACACTGTCTCTGATCTCTGTCCATGGAAAAGAGTTTTCAATCTTACAGGATGAATTACAAGCTCGGAGTGTTTGATATGGGTAATAATTAAGTGTGGCATGGGTGCAAAAGTAAAATTTTAGGTTTCTAGATTAGGGGTCCAAAGGGGACCCCTAAGATGGAGGAATTGGGTGTGTCTTGTCCTTTTCCTCCTTCTTCATGCCCTCCATGTTTCACTGTAGTGTTGGCATTTTTCTGTTGGTTTAGGCTGGGGACACACTGTTCAACGTAGGTGACAGATATTGGCACATTATTGTAAATACAGCACACGTAATTTCTGGTATATAATGTTTGTAACATCCCACTGAGGGCAGAGCCCCACATGCTGCCCTGCAGGACTGACCTGCAGAACATGTTAGAGATAAACAGAATAAACAACCTTGAAACCAGCACAGATGAATTGTGGCTTCTTCTTTAGCTATGGGGCAGAAAGACAGAGATTTTATACAATCTCGGAATCATCAATACCCACAGATTCCAACACTCAGTCACCCACTCTCCAGTTCTACAACCCCACCAGGAGACTCAATTCTGACAATAGGATTTCAAACTTTGCAAGCCTAAAGTATTTTTTATTTCCTCTCTGAGCTGTTCAGGTCAATGTTTCATGGAAGGCCGTGGAGACTTTTCTCCTAAAGCTAGTCCTGCTAGACTCTGGTAGAATGCAAACCTGTGCTTCAGTGTGGAAGAGGGTGAAAAGCTGGAGTGTGATACAGAGGAATGATGTTTTCATCATTATTCAGAAAATTGAAGGGCAAAAAATTCCCTTTGTTATTATTTACAGTGCCAAGGGGAGAAAGATCAGGTCCCTGGGGTGATGGCTGCTATAAGACACAAGGGCAAGACTTGCTGTTTATTTAGAAAATAAGTACTTCTGCAGTTCCCCCGGGGAGTGATCTGTATTCAGCCTGGGGCTCTGTTAAGAGATAAGATTTGACCCCTCAGCCTCCTGAGGTCCTCCTCCCTCTGCATACCACAGCATGGCTGCTCTGTAATCCTCCTACTGCTGGGAAATGGATTTTTCCCATAAGCAATGCTTCATTCTTGTTGGCATTCAGGAGCTCAAGTTATAACCCCATCCCAAGGTTTGGGTCTTGGCAAGAAGACAGTGATCTCTGAGCAGTTCTTTTGCACCTCTCTCTCTGCACAAACACCCCCACATATTCCTGTGAACCTCATGCCACCTTCCTTAAAAACTGTTGCAATGCTGTGGTGAAAAAGAAGACTTAAAAAAAAATTTTTTTTTTCCTCCTCCCCTGCTCAGGGAGCAGCTCCTAGCAGAATGAAATGTTAACGAGTGCCTTTGCCTTTCCTTCCTGCTGTGTCTTACACTGAATTAGACCTGAAAAGCAGTATCACCAAGCTTGAAGTTCAATTTATCAGTGCAGTCAGGATTGATTTGTTACACTACCTATTCTGGGGAAATGAATGTCTCCATCGCACTCCCTTCCAGGGCAGGCAGACCTTTGTTTTGCTCACATCAGCCATGTAATGTAGGAAGCTGACATTCCACAGATAAAGGAAAAAACCTACAAAATCCTGACTAATTCTACCCAGCCTGGCAGTGCCAGAGAGTGATGCCACTTGCAAAGGACATGCTTGGCATTGTGGTGGCTGCCGATACCAGGCAGAAGTGCTCTCTACCTGGGCTTATCTGCTACTTTTTTGTTACTGAATAAGTATTTAATGCCATAAGTATCCTAGAAAATTATTCTTACGTGAATTACATGTCCCCATTATCACTATTAATGTTATAGCTGAACCATTGTGTTGATCCTTGGAACTCAAATTCACAGTAAGAGTCAGGTTGAAAACGAACTTGGTTTTTGTACAAATTTTCAGCTGTTGTCTGAGACAAGAAAAATGAACTTTGCTACTGCTGTTGAGGAGGAAAATGTTTCATAATCTAGCACAGGGGATCTCCATTAAGAGAGCAGTAATTATAAATCCAGTTTTCTCTTGCAACACATTTTGATGGAATATTTGCAATGAACCACATACAAATGTGGGAATTGCATTTTCAGATTCAAAAAACCCAAAGTGTGATTGCTATGAAGTGTTACAATTTTAAAACCCCCTTTCCCCCCCCCCCCCCCAACTTGTCATGTGCACATCAGGTGTGGAGGGAAGGGTTAAGAGTTAAGCACCCTGCAAAACCATGCAGAGCACTTCATGCTCCTAGAAATGTGGCTACAAGAAGGATGTCTATAGCTGGTGCTCATTAAGTGAGGTGAAATGAAAGAGGTAGTTGCTCTAAAGTAGCTTTTTTTCTTCAGGTAAAAGCAGGATTTCTCTCTCATAAATATGCCGCAGCTAGACATAAATGACTTATTGCTTGAAAGCAGCTCTGCACTGCTGAAGAGCTGGAGTATAAGAGTGAGAAATTTGGTCTTAAGCTACCCTGAGTGGGTACTTTCAGCCTGACTGCTGGCAGCAGCAATGCTGTTTTTTGCCTGGGCTGAGGCTGCTGAGGACTCCTGCCTCTGCAGCTCAATGCTGAGCTTCCAGAGGATGCAGGAGTGGGATTATGTCTGTGATTGTCCCGTTACCACAGTCTCTCCCTTTCCACAGCCCTCTTCAAAACTAAAGAGTTAGTTTGGAATGCTGCTCCAGAAGCTGGGGCCGTGCTTGCTCTGTAAGTCTTTGGGTACAGCTCCCCATTAATGGAGTAGGTGTTTTTTGTGCTCCTTGGAGTACCCACCCTTCTTGGCCCTTCTCTGCAACTTGGGTGTTTATTGCAAATTACTGTGTTTCTTTTGAAAAAGAAAAAAGAAAACAGTATCGACATTACCCACTCTTTCTATCTGCTCCTTGATCTCAGATCTCAGCAGAGTCATAACCTAGTCTTAAAAACTGTCTCCTACCCTTAGGGCATAGGTATGTGTGTAGGAAAAGACTAACAGATGGCTGAGATGTTCCCCCTGATCCTCTGGCCAACATTAACTCCAGCTGTTCTTTAGCTTCAGCTCTGCAAACTGATGTCTGAAGTCCTGCAGGAACTGGCTCCTGTTGGACCATGTGTCCCAGCACTGGGGTGTGACTGTACCCAGGAGAGGTGTGGCACAGACCTTGGAGGTCTTATTTTAACTTGGAGCCATGCTTGTCTCAGAGCCCTTTTCTGAACCCCAGGTAGTGTCCGTGCCAAATGCGTCCCTTGTGCAGAACTTCTACCTTTCAGTAAGGCTGGGGAAATGTCAGCCTGATATTAAGATGCCCATCCTTAGGGACTCTGACTCCTGGCCTCCCAACACTCACCAGGCAGATACATACAAGAGAAATAACCCTGAGCCTCTCCAAAGTAGTTTGATCTGAAGGGCTCATTCTTTGTGCACAAGTGAGTTGAACATTACTGAGAACTTGATTTCCATTTCAGCTTGCTTTTCTACTTGTGCAGGGCAGAGCATGAGAGCAAGGCTTGGGCACTTCACAGCCTCCTCTGTATGGATCAATATTTTCCAATGTGTGCAAGTTTCCAAGAGTTTAAACCGCTGAGTTTTGCAGAACTTTAATTGTAT